ACAACTGCCGTGAACAAAGCACCACTGCATGTGAGATGAATAATCAGGCAGTCACTATTTGTACGATGATTTAACATTGGATGGTCTGCAAGAAGAGAGGCATTGAACATTCTGCTTGGAGTTTGCTTACGAAGATTATATGTTAGAATTACATATTCAACACAAAATTGAGGAATACTTTTCTAAGTCTTAATGGACTACCAGGATCAGGTTTTCTTCTGATCTCATGATAACTTTTCATCCAAGTTGTAGTAATATATGTTGTTGTTGTTGTTGTTGTGAGTTGAGTTGATTCCAACTCAGCAACCCTACAGGACAGAGTAGAAATGCCCCTTAGGGTTTCCTAGACTGTAATCTTTATGAAAGCATATCACCAAGTCTTTTCTCCTGAGGAGGGGCTGGTGAATTCAAACTGCTGGCCTGTGACCACTTAACCTGTGTACCACAGAGCTCCTTCAAGTAATACATAGCATCTACTTCCTTTCTAGTCCAGGTATATTAAGTTAATCCCACCGGTACTCCTCAGAAAGAAGATGGGGCAATCTACTTCCGTAGTGATACTGCCTCGGAAACCCAAGGAGGGGTCGCTATGAGTTGGGTCCGACTCGACAGCACATAACAACAACAACAAGGTGTCATAAAAGAATGAGATCAGTGAGGAAGTGAATTATACTTTTACACTAGAAATTTAGGATTCCAAAGATTTTCTTTCAAAAATTAGCCCTCAAAAAAAAAAAAAAAAAAAAAGTCAGCCCTCGTTGTTATTAACAATAGCAATAACAGTAGTGTTGATGATGGTGATGGTGCTAATGGTAGTAAACGTAGTAGCAGAAGTAACATTAAGGGTAGTAATGATTACTAACCATCACTTACTCAACACTTGCTAAGTTTTAGGCAGTATTCTAAGCATTTTAACAATATTAATTTTGCTCTTCACAGGACTCCTATAAAGTAGATGAGCTATTATTAATATGTTTCACAAATATTTTCAACTAAATCTCTTGTTATTTTTGTTGTTATTAGTAACAACTAGAACTATCTCTGAAAGACAAATAGTTGGAGACAAGGAGAGGAGAAGCAGCCTGGCCAAGGTCACATAGCTGGACAGCAACAGACCCAGGATTCAAACCCAGGGACCCCAGTTCCAAAGTCTGACCGCTTAACCACCATCTATACTTACCCCTACAGAGCTCTGGTGGCGCTGCGGTTAAAGCATTCAGCTGCTAATCAAAAGGTTGGGGGTTCAAACCCACTAGCTGTTCCAGGAGAAGGATGAGGCAGTCTGCTTTCAAAAAGATTTCCATCCTCAGAAACCTTATGGAGAACTTCTACCCTGACCTATAGGGTTAGAATCAACTTGATGGTAGTGGCTTTGGGTTTTTTGCTTATTTTGTTTATAGCTACCCTTTTGTTAAAGCGCTTGGCTACTTAACAAAAGGTGAGTGGTTGGAACCCACCAGGCACTCCATGGGAGGAAGATGTGGCGGGCTGCTTTGTGGGCTATAGTGTGTTTCTATAAAGATTACAGCACTGGAAACCCTCTGGGGCAATTCTAATCTGTCCTATAGGTTACCTATGAATCCAACTCCATCACAACAGGCTTGGTTTTTTTGGTTTATACTTATCCCCTTACTTAGGAAGATCTTTTAGAAAAGGAATATGGAAGGAAGTTCATCACTCCCTTACCTGTTGTTGTTATGTGCCATTGAGTCAGCCTCAACTCATAGCGACCCCTCCTTGGGTT